TAGAGAAGTTCTCAGCTATAGTTTGCCCCTCTCTCTCTTTCTTCTTCTGGGATCCCAATTATTCTAATGTTGTTTCATCTTATGGTATCACTTATCCCTCGAATTCTGCCCTCGTGATCCAGTAGTCGTTTACCTCTCTTTTCCTCAGATTCCTTATTTTCCATCATTTTATCTTCTATATCACTGACTCTCTCTCCTGCCTCATATATCCTAGCAGTTAGGGCCTCCATTTTTTTATTGCATCTCAGAAATAGCCTTTTTGATTTCGACCAGATTTTAGTTCTTTTATTTCTCCACGAAGGGATTATCTAGTGTCTTCTATGCTTTTTTCAAGCCCAGTTATTATCTTTACAATCTTGTTTTGAATTCTAGTTCCAACATCTTACTTATACCCATATTTATTAGATCCCTAGCTGTGATTTCTGCCTCTTGCTCTCTTTTTGGGGGTGAGTTCTTCCATCTTGTCATTATGTCCAGAAAAGAATAGATGAAAGGGAGGGAAAATACAAATACAGCAACAATGACACCAGAAAAATATACACAAATCAGAAGAGAACCGAAACCAAAAAGAAAAGAAAAAGAAAAAAACTGAGAATAAAATCAAACAAGTAGAACAGAACAGAACAATAAACTGGATCCTGAGTGTATTTGGTCTGTTTATTAGAAGAAACTAGGTCCCAACATAGGCAAGAAAGAAAACCTCATATATATAGAAAAAATGTAGTTGAATACAATGAAATGAAGTCAAAAATGAAAAATATATATACAAACTGTAAGTGTAAAAATGAAAATATAAAAAGACTTAAAAAATAATTGATAAGATAATAGTTGAAAAGGATAATAAAATATAAAACTGAAGGGCTAAAGGATAATAACTATACCAGAAAAATATACACTACACTAATCAGAAGAGAACAGAAACCAAACAGAAAAAAAAGAGGGGGGTAGGGAATGGGAATAAAATCAGACAAGAGGTTGAACCAAACAGAACAGTAAGCTAGATCCTGGGTGTATTTTGGTCTGTGTGTTAGAAGAAACTAGAATAGGTCTCCCAAAATAGGTCAGAAAGAAAAACTTATATATATACAAAAATAAAGTTGAATACAATGAAAGGAAGCCAAAAATGAAAAATATATATATAAATTATAAGTGAAAAAATGAAAATTAAAAAAGACTTAAAAAATAATTGATAAAATAAGAAAATAGCTGAAAAGGATAATAAAATATAAAACTGAAGGGCTAAAGAATAATAAGAAAAAACCACTTCTATATACTTCTTTCCCCAAGAGCTGGAGTTTTACAGTTCTGTATGATTGGCAAACTTGGTATTTGCCAGAAGTTCCTGCTGGTTGGTCTTCTGGGGGAGGGACCTGTTACCTGATTCTCAGGTGTCTTTGCCCCGGCGGAACTGCACCGCCCTTGTCAGGGGGCCAGGCTCAGTGTAAGTGGGCTCCAGAGCTGGTGGGGGGTGGGAGTGAAAAATAGCTGTGCCCCAATCTCTAGCCCAGGAGCTGAAAGTTCGTGTCCCCCGCTCTTCGGTGCACCCTCACAGAAAAGTGGTCAATCACTGTTGTCTCCTCAGTTTCCATACACACTCTGTGTTAACACAGCCTGTGACTGAGCATTTTTATCTCAGGCACTCCACCCCAATTCGAGTCTCCAAACTTTATGAACTCTTGCGGCGTGCATGCACACCACTCCTCCCAGGGTAGGGAGGGGGTTCTCACTGCAGTTCTGCCTCTTGCTGGGCTCCTGCTCAGAGAGTGTTATATGGACAGGCAGTTCTCAGTTTATGGCAACACCAAGCAGTAAGCTGGAGCCTGGTCTCACTGTTTGCAACTGGCTGCCCCACTCCAATGCCTGGGAACTCTGCTGCACTCGGGCACCCCCATTCTTTTTGTGACCCCGGGGATCCTGAGACCAAGCTATCCCACCTGGGATTCCGCCTGCTTCGCCTCTTGAGTGCCTTTCAGGTAAACTTCTAAAAGTTCCGATTTTGCGCTCTGCTGCTTATGACACTTCCTGGTACCCAGCTTACAGAGCTCCTTCCCTCCAGGTTTATCTTCCAGGGCACTGCTTCAGATTCACATTTCCTCACCTCCTACCTTGCAAAAAGTGGTTGCTTTTCTATTTGTAGAATTGTAGCAATTCTTTTCTCAGATCTCTGGTTGATTTTGCAGGTTTTCAGAATGATTTGATAAATATCTAGCTGATTTCCAGGGACCAGATGAAACTAGGATCCCCTACTCCTCCACCATCTTGGAGGGTCTTCTTATTAGCAAGTCTTAAGTGACCAACTCTAATGTTCTACCTTTACAGAACAAATAAGTGTTATGCAGTCACATACAAGTACTAGCCTTTACGAGCCATCACCAAAATGAAGGCCATTTCCCTATTCACACCTGGTAACTGCATAGGAACAAAATCTTAAATGATTTGTGAGAATTCATTTAAAAATTTCACCAAATAACTTGGTGATACATATAAAAAACATCACTTGGCATGAGGGAAATACAAATCAAAACCACAATGAGATACCACTCACACCTGTCAGAAGGACTAAAATGACAGAAAAAACAACAAGTGTTGGCAAGAATGTAGAGAAAAAGAATCCTCATGCACTGTTGGTGGGAATGCAAACTGGTGCAGTCACTGGAAAACAGTATGGAGGTTCCTCAAAAAATTAAAAATAGGATTACCATATGATCCATTAATTCCACTACTAGGTATTTACCCAAAAAATACAAAAACAGTAATTCAAAAATTATAAACACCTTCATATTTATTGCAGCATATCTGCATTAGCCAAATTGTGGAAATGGCCCAAGTGTCCATCAATTGATGTATGGATAAAGAAGTGGTCTATATATATATACACATATATATATATACGATGAAATATTATTCAGCCATTAAAAAAGAAGGAAATCTTGCCATATGCAACAACATGGATGGACCTAGAGGGTATAATACTAAGTGAAATATGTCAGTCAGAGAAAGACAAGTACCATATGATTTCACTTACATGTGGAATTTAAGAAACAAAACTAATGAACAAACAAAAAAAACAGATACATAATTCAGAGAACAAACTGGTGGTTGCCAGAGGGAACATAGCAGGGATGGGTGAAACAAATAAAGGGAACTAAGAGTACACTTATCTCAATGAGCACTGAGAAATGTACAGAATTGTTGAATCATATTGTATACCTAAAACTAATATTACACTGTAGGTTAATTATACTTGAATAAAAAAAAAAGGAAAAAGGGATAATTTGTATTAGGAAGTATAATGTGTGGTAAGCCTATGGGAAGATCCTTCATAAATTTTGGGTAAAGGACAAAAAATTTAAATCTACAGATAGTGTAAGTTTTTTCAAGCTCTGCTTTAAGAACTCCAATAAGTAAAATCTGGACTTGCATAATAAGTCAGAGAATCATGATGTATATTATGAAAGGATTACTGACTTCATGAAAGATTTTATCACACAATTTCTTAAATAGCTGCTTTTCTCATACATTTTGGTATGTTAAAAATAATTTCCTATTTGACAAATGAGCCACCATGTGCCTTGGGACAAGTCACTGAAATTCTCTTGGCTCAATTTCCTCATCTATATAATAAGGATGGTTTTAACCATGCTGCCTGCCTCACTCAGTTTTCATGACTATATAAAGGTACTTTGAAAGCTATATATACATATTTTTATGGCTGTTGCTTTAAGATTTTATTTATTTATTTGAGAGAGAGAGTGCAGGCACAAGCGGGGATAGGGAGAGAGACAAGTAGAACCCCCACGGGGTTCAATCTCACAACCTCAAGATCAGGACCTGAGCCAAAATCAAGAGCTGGATGCTTAACCAACTGAGCGACCCAGGCACCCCACGTCTGTTGCTTTTAAGAGAGAATTGTGGGGGGGGGGGTACTTTCCAAACTTTATTATTATTACTAAATATGTATTTTTTTATATTTTAGCAGTATCTTAAAAATCAATTTTAGATGACATATTCCCTCTATAAAAATCAAATCTTTCCTTGGTTCATGATCTACTTTTCTCATTTTTTAGTTCTTCTGAAGTTACATATTGTTATTTCCATGGTCTTCATACCTGGATTATGAGTGGCTCCAGTAGCTTCTCTACAGTGAATGTTTGTACCTGTAGATCCTGAGGATCAATATTCAGTGTGATTGGTGTTTCAGCCGACATGCTGCCTGTGCATAAAAATGAAAAGACACTTATTAATAAAGAAAAATACTTTCTAAAGGGAAGCACTAATGAAAATCATAGAGTACATGAGATTTGTACTCAGCACCTCTTCCTGATATCAGCTGTAGCCCTCAGAGGACCAGGGTGACAAGTCCACCAACAGAGAAATGAGATATTCCTTCCCCGTCTGTTCTCTGGTCGTGCGGTCTAGCCTTAGATCCTCTAACAAATTAATCTATGTTAGTATGTTCATGACTAAAATAATAACCCAGGGTGGGTTTGCATTTGTTCAGGAGTCTTAAGTAAAAATGAATGGCCAAGTTGGTGAGACATATCTTACAGCATGCAAGTCCTCTGACTTCCAAAAAATCATGGCACTGAGGCAGCCAGTGCTCATATTTTGCTTCTTCTTGTTAATGATAACTCAGATGAGGAGCCAAGTAGGACTTTGGAAGATGTGATACATCTCTATTTGTTTGGGGAACTGTTTGAGGGTTTTGACTGAAGAAGAAAGTTGGGGGCAGTTTACTTTCCTATACAGAAAATAAACTAATTTAAATTGACATAGTTACTATAAAAAGAGAGAAAGGATGGATATTTGGGCAAGACAAAATAAGAAAAAAATGACCAGCCATCTTTAAGGCATTAACATTAATCTTAAAATCAGTGAGATTTTTGCATAAGAATACATAGATATCTCAAATAACCACACGTGGCATATATATCATAACATATTCAAATTAAAATTGGCCATAAAAACTATTACCCAAATTTCCAAGTCCACAAATTTGTATTAACTTATTCACAGTCAAGTACTTACTAAAGGCTCACAGAGATAAGCAGTAAGAAACATGTATTACCTATATGTAACTTAGTCTGTTAAAAAATAAATAAATTTATAGTCAAAAGAAACATGTTACCATTAATACAAAAACCTTCCCACTTAGATATTACCCATTTTCTTCTATATTTGCAGGCAAGAAAACATAAGATTCCACCCCCAGAAAATATTCAGATATTCCCTATGGCACCCATGGAAACTAAAACAAAAATATTTAGGAAGTACTACAGTAGTCCCCCCTTATCTAGAGTTTTGCTTTTTGTGGCTTCAGTTACCCAGTCGACATATCATCAGAAAGTAAATAGAAGCCTCATGCTACATCACAATGCCTAGGTCATTCACCTCACTTCATCTCAACAGATAGGCAGTTTACCATCACCCAAGATGAAGACTGAGTACAATAAGATATTTTGAAGAAAAGAGAGAGACCATATCATATAACTTTTATTACAGTATATTGTTATAATTGTTTTATTTTATTAGTTATTATTATTAACCTCCTACTGTGCCTAATTTATAAATTAAACTTTATCACAAGTAGGGGCGCCTGGGTCATTAAGCATCTGCCTTCAGCTCAGGTCATGATCCCAGGGTCCTGGGATCGAGCCCTGCATCGGGCTCCCTGCTCCGCAGGAAGCCTGCTTCTCCCTCTCACACTCCCCCTGCTTGTGTTCCCTCTCTCACTGTGTCTCTCTCTGTCAAATAAATGAATAAAATCATAAAAACTTTATCACAAGTATATACGTGGGAAAAGGGAAGGGAGGAAGGAAAGAATGAGTACATATTTTCATGGTGTTTCTCTTATCCAGAATCAATGCCTTCAACACTCCTTTCCATCCCAGTGATTCTAGGAGAGAGGACTGTTCTTTTTTCTATACCCCTGCCTCCAACCCCAAGGGATACCAGAGTCTCAGGGTAAGGCCCATGTTCCCTCCCAACTGTTTCCCCTGAGAGTCTATTCCCATTCTCCTCCTAGACTTTGTCAACATCCATTGGCCTAGTTCCATATAATCAGCATCTCTTTGCTCATCAACCTCTCCCACTCTAGTGGATCCTTCCCTAGATCCATAAATGTGTTACTGTATATATTCCAAAGATAATCATGATCTCCACGTGTATGTGTAAGTGAAAAGGTCAGTGTTTCACAAGGCCTTTCCACACTGTACACCTGATACACATGCAGAGAGAGACATACACATGAAACCATCCTGTAACTAAAATTAACTTTTATCTTGATGAAATCTAATTCTTAGGTTAATAACATAATTTTTTATTTATTTTTATTTTTTATTTGGTTTTGTTTTTGGGTGGGGGGAGCACCAAGGGAGAAGGAGAGAGAGAATCTTAAGCAGGCTCCATGCCCAGCGCAGAACCTGACGCGGAGCTTAGTCTCACAACCCTGAGATCATGACCTGAGCTGAAATCAGGAGTTGGATGCTTAACTGACCAAGCTACCCAGGAGCCCCCATAATTTTTTTTAAACAGAGGCAAATACTATAAAAGTTATACACCGATTTTTAACTGTGCAGGGAGGGGGAATGTCAGTGCCCTGAATCCCCACATTGGTCAAGGGTCAACTGTACTATAAATGTTGAGAATTTTATATAAAACCCACCAACACTGTTGATTTCAGAAAGAGAGCACACCTTCTGAAATGTAGCACATTTCTACACACAATCAAATGGCCTGTGCAGGGCATCTTTGCCCCCTTTCAGACTATCGTGTTGTGCTGTCTTCAGTCTATCCTTAACTCTACCACAAGCCACTCATACAAAGTGCCTACAATTCTTTTACTTTTTAAAAGACATTTTTGCCTTGGAAAAAAATACTATTCAAATTGCATTAAGTGAAAAAATATTGCTTGAATTTCTTTTCAAATGAAAGAATAAATTACTGTTATTCTATGATATAAAAATATATGAAGCATTTGAAATATGCTTCAAGTAAAATATGTTCCTGTTGAAAAAAAAAAATAACTTTAACTAAGGGTCTCATTTAAAATAAAGCATATCAGAAGGGAGATGGGTGGGAGGATGGGTGAAACAGGTGAAGAGGATTAAGAGTACACTTATTGTGATGAGCACTGAGCAATGTATAGAATTCTTGAATCACTATACTATACACCTGAAAATAATATAACACTGTATGTTAACTACACTGGAATTAAAATTTAAAACTCAATTTTAAAAATCATGGGTTTAAAAAATAGAGAGAGAGAGATACAAAGCCATATGACTTAGGCCTTTACTACCTTGTTTTTCTTCCCTTTTCACTGGTTTTATTTCCTTTCTAAAAGTAAAAACATGATCTCTTTTCTCAGCTATTCATCTGAAATACAGAATATATGTTTCAAGAAAGGCTCCATCACTATTGCCAAGTGGTTTCTCTCAAATGCATTTCTAGGACTGAAATGTTTTGTTTTGGTTTGGCTTGGTTTTGGTTTTGGTTTTGGCTTTTTCCAATCATTCCACCTACCACTTTGATTCCCTCTAACAGAAGCAAATCTAAATTGACAAATAGGATACTCCCATGATGACCCTTCTGCATAGCCTGGAGCCAATACATACAATAAAGTATGTCCTTCAGTCTCCATAACACCATAGGGTTCTATCAAATGAGTACTCACAAAGCAGTTCATTTGTTACCCCTTTCATGATGGGTACTATCCTACACAAAAATCAAGTCAAGATTACTGACATTGCTTTGTTCTTTCATATCAGAGACAAAAGTAGAGGACACTGCTGTGAACTAAAATAAGATCTAAGGGAACTTTCACAGCCTTTAAAAACATGTGCTTTCACAGAAATCCATTCACAATGGATTTTCAAAGCTACATTGAGCACCAGAAATTGGAGGCAAAGAAAATAAAAAATAAGAATAAAAATTATTCACATCATAAATAATCCTGCTAGAAAAATGTTTTTCAACAAAGAGATAAAAGACAAATCTAATTCAGCCAAAGTATCTTCTAAATCTGTGATCATGTCTTTAATACACATTAAGTAAAGAAAGTTGTTGAGAAGTTCAGTTTTTTCATGGAAAAATTATAAAATAATATACCAATAAGTCCTTGAAGAACCTTGGCTACATATAATTATTCTTTGAATAAATGCTCTTTCTTATAAAAATCTTTTGGATCTTTTGGATCTGTCCTGTTCAGTAATCCTGATTGACTGGAGATCAGGGCAGTAATAGGCAGAAAACGGCAGAATTTTGCAAATGAAGTTAAAGCAAGGTCAAAGTCTGACAAATTGTTACCAAATTCTTATAGCAATACCACAATGTGAACCCAAAATAAAAATCCTACTAGGTTGTGGGTATTATAACCCAAGGTATGATCCATAAAATCTAAAGAGTTAGGGAGTACTTCTCAAATTCAAGAATAACTCCTACAGCATCCTTCATTTCAACAATGTACTGGACTTGGATGAATAGAAATGATGAGATACTCACTATACCATTAGATTCTGGGATTACGTTTTTTGTTTTTTTTTTTAATTTGAGAGAGAGAGAGCACACGAGCCAGGGAAAGAGCACAAGGAGGGGAGAGAACACAAGGGAGAGGAAAGGGCAGAGGTGGAGGGAGAGGCAGAGGGGGAGGCAGAGGGAACAGGACAAGCAGACTTCCACAAAGCAGGGAGCCCGGCATGGGGCTCCATTCCAAGAACCTAGGATCATGATCTGAGCCGAAGGCAGATGCTTAACTGACTGAGCCACCCAGGCGCCCCTGGGATTACTTTTATAAAGTTCTTTCTTTTTTTTTTTTTTTTTAAAGATTTTATTTATTTATTTATTGGAGAGCGAGCGAGAGAGAAACAGCATGAGAGAGGAGAGGGTCAGAG